CAGATTTTTTTGGGAATTTTTTAGGCAGTGTCACAATAAAATCGTGGATATTATTATACATGAACGACCACATTTTTTTCATAAAATGTTGCCATAATCTTACTCTTGTATTGTAGCTAGCTTAAAATAAATATCGCAAAGAATTGTCGTCCTTTATGAATAAAAATGGACTACCTATATATGTAGACATACTTACGTAAGTAGGTATATATTAAAGAAAAGTTTATTTGCGACATTGAAAGTTTATAAGGTGCTTAAAATTCACTATCTTAAAAAATGACTCAACTCCGGTATTGGTTATATTTAATTTGCCCAAGAATTGGTTTCATTCACATCATCATCATATCAGCCATAGGACATCCACTGCTGAATATAGACCTCCCCCAATGAATTCCAGATAGGCCGAAGATACTTCAAAATTGGTTTAAATACCTATATTATAAGAAATAGGTTATTAAAATTATACCTATGGCAATTAAAATTTTAACAATTAAAATTCTAAAAATTAAAACATGGCAATTTTTATAAAAATATAAAAAACTAGCTGTTACCCGCGACTTTGTCCGCGTGGATTGTAATTCCTGTTTAATACTATGGAAGCATATAATCGGGATAAAAAGATATCCTATCTCCCTTATGTGGTATACAGGCAGGGTGATTGACGGACAAACATTCATATAACGAAACCTTTACAACATAACATAACAACACGCCTTTTATTCCCGAAGGGGTAGGCAGAGGTGTACATTACGGCACTTCATGCCACTGTACAATCATGTAACATCCACTTTTCACTATTTATGTTATGAGTCCCATGTAATAGGGGAGCCTATTGCCATTTACCGGGTACAATTCCAGACTTCGTGCTACTACTGAGATTTAAAAAAACCCAGTAATACTTTGTCCCACCCGGGCATCGAACCCGAGATCCCTTGCCAGGCAGTCGCACTTGCGACCACTTGGCCAACGAAGCAGTAAAAGTTAGTGTATAATATTTTAGGAGAGCCAAGATGACGTCAGATGGCAGGTGCCGATTATCGTGGTTTACTCAGAGTTTTGGGCGGTACCCTGTATAATGTTTTGGTTTAACATTTTTGACTTACAGCCAGGAATTATGCTAATTCACCTACGTGGCAGGGCAGAGCGCTTTAGGGAACATCATTTTCCATTTTAATTTGAAGTCGCGTACACGAATTTTTTTTTATATTCTTTTCTGTATAAATCTTTGTAATTTATTGTGTCTTACAATAAATTATTATCATTTTAATATTTTTTTAATTATAATTATAATTTTTTATAGTCTTCTAAGAGATTATTTATTAGCAATCCCAATCACAGAAATGAATTTCCCGTAAATTTATTAAACTAAGTGATCACATCACACCCTCACTAATATTATAAATCGGAAAGTGAGTTTGTTTGTTTGTTCCGCTTTCACGCCGTAACTACAAAACCGATTGCTTTGAATTTTTACAGACGTAAAGTAAGAAGTCCGGATTAATAAGGTACTTTTTATCCTGGAAAAATGTGATATTCCCGAGGGAAAACAAATGTATTGGTATAGATGGCGCTGTGTGTATATGTCACATAGGCTACTTTTTATCCTTTTGTGACGCGAGCGAAGCCGCGAGTAAAAGCTAGTTAACATTATAAATGTGCAAGTTTCCTTGTTTGGCTGTTTGTTCGTCAATCATGCTGAAACTACTGATCGGATTTTGATGTATACAGGTAAGGTATGAGCTGACTTAGGTGATAGTATACTTTGTATCCAAATTAAATGCTCCCATTGAAAAAAACAGGAATCATATTCTACGTGGACGAAGTTGCGGGCAACAACTAGTATAATATAGTTATCAATTGACAGAAGGAGTTAGCAGAAGAAGTAGAGAGAGAGAAGTGCTCGTGATGAACAACGTTAAGTACCTACTAGATACTCTTCTTGCATAAATTAATATACTTTAGACCTATTAACACGTTGTATGAATTACTTCGATTAATTAATTAATATTCTGCGCTATTACCCGCCGCCATTGAACAACAAAGTTCTGATATTAGTGCATTGTTGTGTGAATTCAGAAATAATGTGATTATAATGAACAGTTGTACTATATATGAGAGGTTATAACAAGATATAACTCTACTTATTGATACTGTAAGAGATTCTGTTTGTGTTCTTTCATACATTATTTATAAAAAAAATGTTTCGTAATATATTGTACTTATACAAAATCTGGTACGAATGAGCCAGTTTGTAGTCAGCTTGTGATCAGCAAATCCAAGCAAGGAGATCCAACAAACCCTACAAAAGCTGATAAACTATCTAATGTCCGAAAAAAAGGACAGTCATCTGCAAAGTCGACAATCCTTGCAAAGTCACCATGGCACTATTTGCAATCCTAAGACTAAATATTTAGGTACCTATCTATACCTACTTAATAAATTTCTAATAGAAAGGCAAATGCATTACTCACTATTTCCTTAAATATATCTCTATCAATAAAAATAGGTTCTAACATCGACAATCCAATCAATACAAGATAGCATACTATCAGAGAATGACCACGCTGACCCATATCCGAACATTTATTTATTTAGTTTATCACATTTTTGTAACGTCTGAATACCATGACATTAACGAAAATCCATATTTTATTACTATTTATATAGAGCTCATATTTATTAAAATGTATTTCTGAATGTTTACGTTATATCATTGTATTTCTTTAATTTTATCAGCATAAACATAACATAACATCACGCTTTTTATCCCCGAAGGCTCAGGTGCACATTAGAGCACTTAATGCCACTGTGCAATGTAACACCCACTTATCATTATTTATGATATGAGTCCCATGTAATAGGGGGTGAGCCTATTGCCATATACCGGGCACAATTCCAGACTCCGTGTTACTACTGAGTTTTTTTTTAAAAACCTTTTAATACATTGCCCGACTCGGGAACCGAGTCTGAGACCCCCTGCCCGACAGTCGCACTTGCGACCACTCGGCCAACGAGGCAGTCATTTTATTAGTTTAAAGCTAATGCAACGAGTATAACAAGAAAATGCAGCAAATTGTAATAATACTTACAGTAAATATTATATAACCTATTAAACGTAACTAGTGGCAAGCTGCAATTAAATAAAACGTTTAGTTAAGAAGATGGGTACTAATTTTAATAAGATAAACAATTTTATTATTCAACATACTTTGCACCTATTCTACCTACCTACAACATGCAAATATTCTAGTTTCTATATAATTATTTTAATAGCACTGATCCAGTGATTACTAAGATTTCTAAGCGATAGAATGTTTCACTGATTCTGTAAAACTATAGTTACCACTAGAGTTTAGATCTTACCAAGTTTAATCAGAGTCTAATTTAGGTTACTAACCACAGCAGCAGCTGTAATTGAGTAAACAACTACACCGAACATCAAGTCAAATATCCCTACATCTTCTCAGTTCCCTCACTTAACTCCAAAAAGAATTTATATGAGAACATTTCCTTAACTGTTACGAATATCATTTGAATCGAATAGTCCTTTGTCCGCTCCGAAAATCTGCTGATAAAGGAAAGCTCTTTCGGCACCAAAAAGGTAGCTATAAACGTAGCCGATACGTAAGCAAGACAGGAATAAATTGGACTCAAAGATTTATTGCCAAATGCTCTTAACCCGAAACCCGGAGAATAAGTCCGCTCTATACAGTTTTTCGGGCTCCAAATGTATCACACACCGTCCCCAATTGATTGATGATGCGAAATTCTTAACTTCAGCCATTTTTGCTCCAGATGCGTTGAACTAGGAGTATGATTGGCGTAAATTATTAATTTGAAATTAACAATGTAATCGTAAAATAAATCTCGGCGTCAACAAGTTGGTTTACAAGTATTTAAAGTTTATGACTCGGTTAGAGCCTTGTAAGCCACAGGTAACGACGTACTTCATTTCTAAGTGTAGGTATATTATTTATTTATATCCCATTTTAACTTATTTTATATCTCTGTTTCTACTATAAAGTTCCTGGTATATGAAACCGAATAAGGACTTAGGGAAGACTTCTCATACTTTTATTGGGCGATTCCCTGAATAAAATATACGTCTCTAGATAATAAACAGGCGATGACAAACAGGAAACCACGTTTACTGTCAACAAAGTGACAAATAAAACGACGTCGTTTTTATAAAGTTGCTATATTTCAGATTTTTGTTTCGGGTACAACACAACTGTTTCTGAAAATATTTTTAATAGTACAGATCGAATTGGTTTGTCTCTTACAATAGGTATGCAAAGTATTAAAAATTTTAGAAGGTCGGGAAAATTGAGTAGGTAATTAATTACACTAGGATTACATTTATTTCTAATACACAAATTTAATATAAATATCACAGTCAAAGATTATATAACTAATATTCTAGAAAGACCTAAAGGTATATGGCAGTGAAATGTAGGGCAGTTTTTATTCTACGTTTACAGTCAAAATTGTAACAACCTTAATTCGTGGAGTAAGTATAGGTACAAAATATTAGCTTACGAGAAAGTACAAGTGTTACCAATGGCAAAACTAGTCCTATGAACTGTGACTAGAATATAGATTAGGCGCCGAACATACATGCTACCTTTAGCATTCACAATCAGTGATTCTATTTCTTCCGTAAAGCTTGGAGCTGCAAGAATATTAGAATATGAAAATTTGCTTCTAAAAGTAGCATGTCTGTTGGGGGCCTTAGGAATAAATTACGCGATACAAATATCAAAAGTTCGGTATCTACATTACAAGCACTACTCTGGCTAATCTACAATGGTTATGATCTTGTGTGACGAATATTAAGTTACACGTTATCTACCTATATCTAAATACCATCTTAGTTTTCAGTTCCACATTATGAACATCACTAACAAATGCAGAACATTTTTTTCACGTAACTTATCCTTATAATTTGAAAAGATAATGTTGATTATTGCTTTGATTTCCCTCCTCGAACGTTAACGTCTCTAATTGTTTGGAGTTCCATACACGGTCTTATTTTCAGGACTCTGAAAAAATGCATTAACACTAAATATCCGCATTGTCCATAAAGCTAAAAAACACTGATGGTCATAGGGGCAAAATTGTAAACAAGATCAATTTACCTCATACGGCGGTGGCGGCAGTATATCACACAGATTTATTTGACAGCCCTGCTCCGACCTCGCTACATTCGAATGTCTACTCGTCTGAATGGGAATTTTGAAACTGTTCTCCCTGCCCAGCCAGTGCCACTGCGGATAGTCATACTCTAAATCACTCGCCGGACACACTTTGCTTTTGTCTTGTCGACTCCTTGATCCGGACCTATTTGTATGACAAGAAGCACAGTCGTCCTCTAAGACATTAATGTCATTATGTGCGTTCTCATGCCTCGGTTCTCTATAGTCCTTAGTTGATCTACTAGACGTGCTATGGCAACACGTTGAACATTCTCCGTTCGAATATTGAATACTTCCATTACACGACCTCACAATGCTATTGTTATGAGATCGCCTTTCTGGACAATTTCTCAAGTCTCCAATTTCATTATTGTCCTGTGTGGAAAACGATATTTATTGTTACACTTATGAACATTTTGTGAGGTATTTGATATACGATAGGATTAACGTATGCAAATTCGTTGAAATGTTATCTAGAGTCAACAATGGAGTTCTCGAAAATCTTATCAAAGCGTACCTTGAAATTGAGTTCTGTGTAAATTGCGCTGGACGCGTAAGGTTCCGGTGGTCCGCGAATGGAATTCTGAGGCAGACTGTATTCAGGCTCGACACTTAGAATACTTGTTGATTGCCCACCTGGGAATAACGTTACATTCTATAAACGGTTTCTATTTAGTAGTCGCTTTGATAAATGACAAATTATGGCATCAATGGTCTAATTTTAAAACGAGTCCGAACGTTTTATCATAGGACAATCATAGGTATTTGTCAGAAGAATCTATTTCAACAGAATTTATACCGTGAGAAATATGTCGTGGTTCTTAGGTAAACACTTGATTATCAGACTAGATAACAAGCAATACTCACCATGAAGCAGACTTTGATGACAGCTGCTCACGTCTAGAGTTGGATCGTTCGGAGCGGCGAATACTGGCCGCTCTCTCAACCAAATAGTGTCTTTATTCAATAGGCATTGTTGAGCTGTTACAATTGACTGACCTACAATCCAAATCAATGTTTCAATTACATGTACTTAAGATATACATACATTACTGTTTGTATACATTAATGTGTAATTACCAGTAGATTTCTTCCTTTGAATGTTATTTCGGCGCTTGACGTAATAAACGCTGAACACTCCGATAGCAATCACAGAGAATAATGTTAGGCCGAGAGCTAGGAGCCACGTTTCTTGAAATATATGCGTTATGTTGGAATCTTTTGGTGGTTCAGTCCTAAGGAGAAAAGACATTTTGATTAAAAATGTTCAAATATTTTAAACTTACGCATGTTCATAGCTAATCTGAATTTCAATAATAGAATGTTGACAGTTGACAGCATTCATATGCAAACAAATGAGTACCTAACAAGTACCAATTAGCTGGCTTATTAGATCGGAAGTAGCACTTACTGGACGTAGTGTCTTTGTGACTGCGTGGGTAGCATGTGTATGTGCGCGGGCGCGCTGAACGGTCCGTGTCCGCGTCGCGTGACAGCGGCGGCGCGTGCGCTGTACCGGCCGCCAGACCGAAGGGAGCTAGCCACGGCCGCGCGGGTGCGAGCTCCTAGCGACATCTGACCAACCACGCGACCTCCAGTACTACCACCCACGCGGATTTCGATCTGTGTGCAGGAAATCTACTTAAACACTTCTCGCTTTGTTTAATACAAAGACCAAGGCCAAAAATAAGAATATGTATAAGACTTTAATCTGACTATGAATAGTACCTATGTGAAAATGAATGGTACAGAATTGTTACGATATACAAATGATTAAGCCGAAAACGGCGTTAAACCAAAAATGGTACTACATAAAAAAATACTAAAATGATCTTGAACATAATCAAGTTATTACTAATTTGTATTATTCTTTACTTTATGACTATGGGAACTAACCATAAGCTGTAAACAATACATATCATGTTAGTTAAAACCGAACATAAAACTTTATCGAGCAAAACAATAATCATTATTAAACAATAATTGAAAAACAAAAACTTACCAAGTACCCGGTGAGTTCACCGTTCCACGTGCTCACAGGTGGCGGTTCCCATCGTATCCACGCCGATGTTGCGTTTATTACACCCGCCGTAACGCTTTGGGGCGGCGCAGAAGGTACTAAAATATCACCAACACATAAAGTATGCAACCACATCCAGTAAACAAACAAAACGAAGAAGAAAATCCTTACCATCCTCGTCCGTATACCCCGTCATCAAATTTGATGGCTTACCAAGCAACATCTTGTAAAACGGCATCAAGAATATATCGTACTGGGTATAAGCCATCAAGCCCGTGAGTATATAACTTGATGATCCACTATTGTCAATGTTCATCAAGGATCCGTTTGAGCACAGGACGTCGGGATGCGCCGGATTTAATAAAGTAATTTCGTCATCAGTTGCATTACGCCAATTGAGTGTTGTTCCATTGTACCATATCTTTACACCTTCCAAATACTCATTGTAGTCGGTTAAAACCTATAAATAGAGAGTACGTAAATAGTTTGTTTTACAAATTTAATGGAACATAAAACTTCTTAAGTACACTTACATCCCAAACAACCTTTAAAGACGTGGACGATAATGCCTCTACCCTTCTCAGAACTAACACATTTTGTTGCAAATATTTCCTTGCTTGAACAAGCTCATATTGCGTCATGCGCGTCTGACGTTCATAATCTACGTTATATTCACGATCCAAAGAAGGTTCTTTTAGTTCATTGTTTCCTTTTTTTAACACTTTAAGATAAGCCTCTTGCATAATACTACCAGCTGCGTTGACAGCTGTGCAAATCACTCGCCCACTGTGTTCAGACCGCGCCCCATCCAAATATAATAAGCTCGTATTACTTTTCGTACATTCCGGGAAAAGTAAAGAATCTTGAATCCCCTCGAGAATCCAAAAGGTCGTTGGTGTAGGTAAGCCTTTAGCTTCACATGGAATGGAAACCACATCGCCCTCCCATGCGGTCAGATTGGACGGTATTTGCGTGAAGTGTGGTAAGGCTGAAACAGATGGCCGTATTTAAAATAGAACGGACAGTTGTCAGAATTATTGATGCAATAAAATCGATCCAAATAGAGACAGAGCTTACAGTAAACTGTGAGTGTGGCGCTGGTGATACTCGTGCCAGCGTGACTGTCGGCGCGGCAGGAATAGACGCCGGCGTCTGTAGCGGACACATGCTCCAGTCTTAATAGCCCTCGGATTATTGTTGCATGGGAAGGCAACGAGCCGTCTTCTTTCACCCATGATATTTTTACACTCGCATCATAACTCTAAAAGTAATTATGGAAGTGTTATAGCACAACATTTAATATTGTAATGGCATGATATAAATTATACCCTAAAGACATGGTGTTACATTACCTGACAGTTAAACTCCACAGTTTGCCCAACCAAAGCTGTTACGTTACTAGGTTTAACAACAAAGTGAGGTCGTCTTAAAACAGTTAGTTCTGCGGCTCGCGATTGCCTTTCACCGGCGATGTTTGATGCCACACACCTAAACAAACCGCTGTCTGTTGGTAACGTTTCTAAGATCTTTAAGTTTCCTGTATCAGTTACTGTTACCCTGAAAGGAAATAGTTCGTTACATATTTTATATTTCATAGAAAATCCATCATTAAATTCCGGACAGTCAATAGCCTCTTTCTGTTTTCGGAAATAATTTCTACGTTTTAATGTCGTACCTGCCATTAACTTCAACGTCATATGATTGTTCATCTTTGAGCCAGTGAACCGAAGGTTCTGGAACCCCTCGAGGGGGTGAGCATTCCAATAAAGCTGGTTCTCCAGCAGCCACACGAACATCTCTTGGCTCTGCTCGAAATTCATCACGTAGAACTGGAAATTATAATACCATTAACTATGGAACAATTGGCACCCGAAGTCAAAGACGTATTTGTATAATGTCGTATCTAAACCTTATAAATTGATGTATGATAATAGCGTTTTACTGAATAAGGAAGAAAGTAGTGCTCAATATACGAATTTCTATTTTCCCTTAAAGAGAAATAAAGCGTAGGTAGATTGGTAATTCTAAATATTGGAAACCAAAGCAGATTGATTTATAACTCTGTTCAAAGCAGGTAAAGTTTCACTCAACTGATTGGAGAGACTTGGCAACAGAATTGTTTGATTTAATAGCGGTCCAATAAATAATTGATTTACATTTCTGAGAAATGTTTACACAGCTATGGTTTATATTGGGTTGTGATTATAATATTTAGGTTAATCTGAATAGTTAAGTTTGGATTAACAAATACTACTAGCTATTACTAGATATTTGTAAAATAACTACCATTGAATTGTAGACAACTATGAAAATAAGTTCTACGGAAGAATCGCAAAATTATCCCATTTTTTGTCAGGTATCTTTCTCTAGTCACACTTAAGTCATATCGCAAACTAATTATGAGTAAATGTTAATGTACAAGGAATTCATGATCACGCGCCACTGACGAAAGCGATCGATTTAAGCAAAGCACATTTTACAAGTATATTAAACATGACTATAATAATACGCACGACACAAACCCACCTCATACCAAATCCACACACGCTATCATTAGCAGCACACAACCATTAATCTCCCCAACAAAGGTTAAACACTACTTGGTCGGTACAAACATTACTATGCAAATATTTTCCCTATGTACTATGTTCTAAGACTCACCGGCGACGTTAAGCGAGGCATTGTGACTGACGGCTTCGCCAGCCAAGTTGCGTGCCACGCACCAGTATATGCCTTCGTCGCTCTCCTTTTTACCACGGTTCACCCTGGGGACACAAATCTTATGAACTGTCTTGATTGTTCGAAATGGTGTTTGTTATGTCTAGATTTACATGTGAGGTAGTGCAATGAATTTTAGCACTGCATGTGGAGCGTTTTCTTGACTGTAATGTGGTTGGATATTTATGTTACTGATGGTGTATAAACTAACTTGATGCACAAGTTGCAGTACAAAAAGATTTTTATTTTGTTTGATGTAATATATTGTTTACAATAGCTTCTTGTTATATCTGTATTTTAATTTACTTTGATTTCTAAAGTGAAATATAAAGTAAGCTAAAAACATTTACTTTAAAAATAAGTCAATTCATCAATCAACTGACCATAAAATTGCAATTTACAGTCGATCAAACATCAAAGTCTATCAATAAACTGTTCAACGCTCTCATAAATCATAAAATATACGTTCATGTTCAAATGTTTAATAAAAAGTAATTTAGACGTCTACACTACAACGGTGGAAATAAATTGATTCCAAAACCGTGTTTGTAGTGCGAAGAAAATTCAAATGGAACCTTTTTATTCAAATTAGGGTCGTTACAAAACACTTTTTGATCACACACCGCCAGTTCCGAATGTTATTGCTCTGGAATTGGACCAACTGAAATTGGAATACTGAGTCTAAATGCCAAAAAACATTGCATTATGTGGTCGTATAACGTTGAAATTGCTTATTCTTACCAGAAGTGGATGTGCAATTTAACTTTATTTGAAAAACATTTGTATGCATTTTTATGACTTTTTTCTGAGTACTTACTATAAGGCTATTTTGATAAAACTTGTCTTATATGAACGTATGTACCAAAACTACCAAACTTTCTTTTTATAATGATACTCATATCTCTGTTACAAATCCACGTAGTCTACGTACCTTAAAAATAGTAGTCCATCTTCCAACAGGACCCTATGTCCATCTTCAGCTGGTGGTAAAGGAGATCCGTCCTTATACCATTGCACATGAGGTTTAGGTCTACCTTCCACTACGCATCTTAAGGTCGCAGGCTCACTGCGCCCCGACACTGTGTTTGAAGGGTGTTCCTTGATGCGGGGTGCTCGGTTTTGTGCTGATAAGACAAAAAACAACGAATTAGGAAAGAAAATATTAAAATTAAAGAATATTTGGTAGTTCGAACAAACATTTTTGTAGAACGTCGTAACTTAAAAGGTGAAAAGTCTAAACCAACGTAATTAAAATGTAAAGATTAAGTTCGCAGTTTTAAAAGTTTCTGTGGTCGATAAAGTTAAGTAAATAATGAATTATTAAATTTACTGACCAACAGACTGATTCTGCGTGACCTTTGGGAAATTTTGCTCCGTTTTCATCTGTCTGATTAATTAAAGTCAAAATGAACGTGTAGTAAACGTGTCTACACATGTAACAAAACCTATTTTGGTACTACAGGACATTAAACTGCACTGGACTGCACGGTTGGCGCGGTGGCTGGGCAACTGGCTGCCGCGCAACGTGTCGCGGGTTCGATTCCCGCACGGAACAACTCTTTGTGTGATCCACAGATTGTTGTTCCGGGTCTGGGTGTCATGTGTATGTGATATTGTATGTTTGTAAACGCACCCACGACACAGGAGAAAATCCTAGTGTGGGGCAACGTTTAAAAAAAAAACATTTTATTTGACGACCACAAGCAAGATACGTCGAAATAAAGTATAAGGCAAGTGGGCACTGACATCTGTGAATTCGTTTAGCACGTGGTTACCATGAGGTGCACATACATAATTTCAACATCTGTTTGTGGGATTGTGGCGCATTACATATGCAAATTTGATACAAAGTATCAAAGCAGTTATTTCCTTTGACAATTTAAAGGAGACATGAGCTTGATAATAATAAATGTAATATTTCGAATTCGTCGACAAGATATTTGCTATTAAACCTCGTAAGAAAAATATGACTGCGAATTTTTAAGGTGTAAAACCGATTCTGAAAAGTAAAAAGTTCGTACTTATTGATAACACTTAGACATACAGATACAAACGAATGAATCATTCTAGGAAAACAAATTCAAGCATAACAAAGGTCATCAGAGTTCCTGCTAGGATAACATCATAAATGTACTTTGTTTCAAAACAAGCTGTTTATTAACCTACACACATCGTTAACCAGAGCCATCAAAAGTCAAAGATGACGATTCTACGAGTAATAACGTATTGGATCTTCGATATTTGCGCCATAACCAAAGGTTTACGAGCAAATCTTATCAGTGTGTAACAATCTGCCGTAGGACATAAACGAGCTTCCCAATGACCTCCACAATTTGATTTGAGATGGGATACAGCCAAAATATCACGGTTCTCTGACAATTTAGGGGACTTCGATTAGTTGGGCGTTATGTCTGTGAAGTTGTGTATAGAGGTCAGTTTGGGAAATTGAAATAAAATAATTCGTTTTCGATTAATTTATCGTTGCCCACACTAGGATTTTCTCCCTAGATGCGTTTACAAACATACAAGTTCACATACAAATAAATAAAACAAACTAGATAAAAGCTTGTCAAAATTACACTATTTTGTTAAGCCCTTGTTTATAAAGTTCCTTCTTTATTAGTTAAGTTATGAGATTAACAATAATTGCAATTCGATAATATTAATTTTATGCTTGAAAATAAATAAACAGAGACGTATTAAAAACACATCAAGATTTTTTTACCTAAAAGAAAAAAGTAAAGCCTGCACAAGTATATAAGTACTTAACTCTATGGATTCTAAAAACTACATACTTATGAATGTAAATATTACTGATTTATTTCTTACATAATAATTATGTAAATGCTATTGTCTCACTTCTTCAAAATCCCTAGTCCATTTCAATACTAGCATTCTAACTTCGCACTGACAAACTTTATGCAGTAGACTATCCAAAGTATCCATGAAACTTAATCCTGCATTATCATAAACTTGACTGTAACAAGCCTGTTTGGTCCAAGCTAAAGTTTAGCTTAACGCGTCGTATCCATTAAGCTAAAGTAAGCTAAGTAAGCTAAACTTTAGCTTGCTGAGCGTAACTTTACACTTGAGTGAGTTAAGTCGAAAAAACGTAAATTATTTATTATTGTTCAACACATGTTTGAGGTTTTTAAACCTTTAGAACAAATGGTCCTTGTTTGTTATATTAAATTAAATTGTAAACACATTGTTGTAATGAATGATTCATTTTAATATTTACGATGGTGACATCAACATTTATTTATATGTTAAGGGTAAAAATAAATTGTGAAGCTTCATTGAGCTTTTAGTGTATGCATGTTAGGGAGACTGTCTCGTTGACTGAGTGGTCGTTAGTGCGACTGCCGAGCAAGGGGTCTTGGGTTTGATTCCTGAGACGGACAAAGATTAAGTGGGTTTCTAAAAAAAATACTCAGTAGTAGCACGGAGTCTTGTGCCCGGTATGTAGCAATAGGCTCACCCCCTATTACATGGAACTCATAACATAAATAGTGAAAAGTGGGTGCTACATTATACAGCGGCATTAAGTGCCGTAAAGCACCTCTGCTTACCCCTTTGGTGATAAATGGTGTGATGTCATATTATTTTATGTCACGGATATCGGCTCTATATGTTATAGAGCTTTTTTATCAAGCAAATGTGTTTTTATCATACATTGCAGTAGCGTAGTCATTTTATGTTACGGTGTTGATCAACGCCGAGAGTCCATATATCTATATTCGACACTCGGGTGGAATAAGTTATTAAACTTTAAGTATGAAAGAAGTAACTACCCAGTAAGTAATAAAATGATCCTAAAAATATTAATTTTACATATTTTTAACCATAAATTACACAATTTCAATCATGGACATTTTTACACACAATTCATTTAAAAATATTATACAAAATACATTTTCATTAGCTCGATTTAACTGAGAGTAAAAGTTAAGTATTTGTTCGTAAATGCTCTTGATAATAATTTGATCCCAGGCACAAGAGAGTCCACTTCAGAGGGCGTGGGAAGCATCATAATCATTTATGGGACAAAACACCACTTCATGATATAATACGATACCAGAATTATGGTCGAGTATATTTATGTAAGTACTGACTTAGTCTACGGTTGATTGGTTACAAGTGCAACTGCCTAGCAAGAGGTTTTGAGTTCGATTTCCAAATTGAGCAAAGGATTGTTAAAATTCTACCATATTTTACATAACTGAACATCACGCCTTTTATCCCCGAAGGGGTAGGCAAAGGTGCACACAGAAGTAGCACCCACTTTTCTGTTATGAGTCCCATGTAATAGGGGGTGAGCCTATTGCCATATACCGGGCACATTTCCAGGCTCCGTGTTACTACTGAGATTTTTTTGAAAACCCAGTAATACTTTGCCCGACCCGGGAATCGAATCCGACACCCCTTGCCCGGCAGTCGCACTTGCGACCACTCGGCCAACGAGACAGTCTACCATATTTTGTATGCTTTCAATTTTTAATGCTGGAGATGCAAATACTTAATGACTTACCAACTTTAGACAAACCATTTATATTATGTAAATATAGATTAACATGTTTTAAAACTTTAATGTTAAAGATTTTATAAAATCCATTAGGTTGTTAGAATAGTAAAAGTTATTTGATAAAGATAAAGACATTTATTTGCGTAAAAACATGGTATACAAAGATGTTACAGTTACAATATAATATATCACCAGGTTTTGCTTAATAAATAAATCATGCAAATTTTAACTTATAACTTGTTATAACTAACTTACACTCGTAGTTATAGGTTTGTAAAATGAACTAGAAACTACACATGGTTTGTACGACTGAAAACGTGAAATTTTAAGCAAGTTGAAGTCGAAGGCAAATCGACCGCGAAACGATTGTCTTGTTTCTAAAATGTTCTTATTCCTAGGAGTTTTAAGTTGTACAGTTTTACAGAACTTTTCTACGTTTCTAAAGAATAAAGGGCATAAAGGATATTGCTAACATTGGTACGACAACTGAGTAAGGGAAATCGAATCCGATTGAACTCAGGGTAAATAAACATTAGAGTATTTTGATTCATCTAAAACCTCAGTAATTTCATAAGTATAGGAATTGTCTCTGATACATGACAATAGTCTCTCTCTATATGACATAGAACTCATATTTAATTGCAGGAAACTTGATTATCACAATTGATAACCTTTTTAAAAATACGAAAGTATAATATTGTTTTCATAATATTTATCTAAATACTAAATATCTACTCGATACAACGGTTGCGAAACTCATATAAAAGTCGTTTCTCTTCATTGGTTTCATCAATAAACGCATCACGCTCTAATTCTAGACTAGATTGATGATCAATCAAAATGGCGATGACTTTGCTTTAACAAACTGCTAACGTCAATGAACTAGGACATGGAGTTGTCATCTAAACACCATATTGAATTTAGCCTATCAAAGCAAAAAAATACGAGTAGATATTGTATATTTTATAATGTTTAAGATCTACAAGGATTCTGTATTAATCAGTTTGTTTGTGTGGTGGTCTAGTATTGGAAAAACAACTGCTTTACATAAGATTCTAAACTGGATTTAAGGATCTCGCCTAAAAAGCTAAATAATTAAAGGTGATGTAGGATAAAATTTAATTTATATTAACTGCAGAATAAAGGACCACTCTAACTGAAGTGTCTGAGAAGATGAATACACCAGTTGTCATTGAGAAATTATAAAGATGCGGTATGTCCTATAGATATAATCGGAAGCTTATAGAAAACCACTTTAAACCAACATGCACAACACGTACTTAATAGACCATTAATCACTCTTTTACATCCAAAATCCCATAAGTAAAATAAACAACACAATCAGAAGATATGACAAAAAAATCACAACTTTCCATACAATGTTCATAAAACCCAACGCATGACTATTCATGCGTACCCTATTAAGTTGTCCTATTATAATGTAGCGTTAAATTTTGTTACTCATACTGATACACCGAACGATTGACGCCTACTCCATCCGTAAAACATTCCTAAGAAGAGCCGCGTCTTCATAAAAAGTAACATATGGAACTATGGATCTCTCAATACCGCGTCCAATTGTTCGTATGTCCGTTCCACTGCATTTAGATAGACACACAGATAAAATGACACTCGCTGTATTGTAATAATTGTGATTTATTTTTTTATTTTACGTTTCTTTGTTGCTAGGGCTGGCTCTGTGTGATGGGTGTTTGTTGCGTTATAAAATGTAGTGATACAGAAAATTATGACGGTATATTTTGTTCTGTACTTTTTTATTGTCATTTGTAAATATAGGTGTGACTGCTGTGGTTTTAATTTTTATATCAAATCTAAATACTCTATTATAGCAATACTCTACTTAACTTTTATAGCAATCGGAATTCTAACACATCTCACAGAATGATTTCCAAAAATAGGCACCCAATTAGCTACATTTTTCTCAGTTTAGAAGTAAGTTATCCCCAAGTTAACTTCTGTCTACCATAGGTATCAAAAACATAATGTTATTTGTTGCTTATACATAACTAAAATTATAGTTGCAGACGTAATTTCAACCACGAAAGCATGCTTCAATTGAGCACTTGTCACCTAATAGCATGTTCCTGAAAATAAACATGCTCGAATCGAATTGACAGACGTTCGATTTTTAAACCTGCTCAATAGAACGCTCTTTGGCATACTATATTAAAGCACATGTATCAGTACCTAAATACATATTGCTAACAAGTTAATATAATGCGTATGAGACAAAAAATATTGTAGACATCTTTTGAATATCGTCAGTCATTTTTACAAAGAACCTTTGACCGCAATCTATTTTGATAAAAAGTAAAGATGAGGTCAAGGGTCGACTAGCTTGAATAGAATATGCCTCCGCTTAACTAGGAATGATGTTTCAAAGAAATTCTTAAGAATGTTTGTAGGAATATAATATAATGGATGATATTTAAAAAATGCTATAGTAATGCTAATATTCGTTCAAAGGTGATGTAAGGATAAGTATTTTTATAAGTAGCTCATATGCTTTTAAGATTCTATTATGTATTCAGAAAATTTACATCACAAATACGCACTTAAATTGAAAATCGATATCATTTCGTAAAATATTTTTTACCGGTACACAAGCCATCATAACATCACGCATTTTATTCTCGAAGGGATAGGTAGAGACGGCACTCAATGCCATTGTACAAAGTAACACCCACTTTTCATTATTTTATGTTATAAGTCCCATGTAATAAGGCCTATTGCCATATACCGGCCACAATTTCAGGCTCCGTGCTAATACTAAGATTTTATGAACTTAGCAATACTTTGCCCGACCCGGAAATCGAACTCGAGACCCCTTGTTCAGCAGTCATACTTGCGACCTCCCGGTCAACGAGGTAGTTTAAAAAAAATATTTTTAAAGAAAAATTAATAAAAAAAAATTTCGTTTAAACATTTGTAAAAAAAAATAGGTTAGGTGTTATTAGCAACAATGAGTATTGACAACAACATTCACTATCCTTGTAAATATATTCCAATGTTTAAATAAATGCTTTCAAATAAATTGTTCAAAAGAATATATCAGCTACAGCTGCACGGCTATAAATTAAATCTGAAATAATCACTACCTATTCTATGTTATTAACGAGATAATTGTAGTGTTTAGATTAATTATACACCTTTTATGCGCAGTTGAGCAAAACGTGGGGGAACCTTCTTATAAAAAGGGTTTTTGTGGCACAACAAAAGCTAGAAGTAGGAAATGGAACGTAATGGGAGAGATTTATTGTTATGTACTCAATTGTGGGTTATTAAATGGGACTACATAATATTAACACAGTTTCTTCAGCTAAACTAAAGTTGTTAGCAAATGACTGAACCCCAGAACCCCGCTTAAAATGTAAAGGACAAAAACTTTTCATATGTATTTGTCCATAACTACTTATCTAACTAAACCCAAAATAAGTCTTAAACAATATTATGGTTTCTACGTAAAATAGTTAATATTGCTATCGTAAATAACAATAAAACATTACCATAAGACCAGTCTCAATACCAATATCAATCAAAGCTATACATAATGACCCAAAATAAACACATTTTTAATAAAAAATGCTAACGGGACAGCCCTACGACCAGCTCCGGCGCAACATCGGTAGTTCTCCTTTATTAATACTTGTCACTGTCAGTGATAAGGTGACACAATAAAAGTACGACGCTGATTGTCTTTTTGCTGCAGTGTGGGTGCAACGAGTAACCGGTGGAAATAAATAGATTATTATATTTATACGTACTTATCTGATAAATGTGACAGCCCTAATGTGATTATTTGGAACGGCTTTATTATAACGAAAATTATTGTAGCGGTTATTAAAAAAGAATGGTACGTTTTTTGAAGAAAAGTGCGTATGGTACAAATCTTAAATATATTATTTCAACCCAAGTAATCTATATGCAAAATAAATAGGCATACAAAGGTAAATGTCATCTTTCGTATTTTTTGAACAACTACATAGATGCGATATGATAAAATAGCACTCAAAAATTGTGAATCTCTTCAACATAATATGATAAGGACAATAATCGTAAATTCACACGGTTATCGAAAACATGGTTTTTATCGCATTTTATATACACGGATGTTAACTTAAGGAAACGAAAAAAAATACAGGTTCAATGACCTGTAGTTAGCGCTTAGGTTTAGTTTTAAAATTCTTCGAAAAAACGTTAATTGTCCTTGTTAGTTATATTAATAATCTTTTCTATAGTATAATATCATAACGACTGTTGTAGGTATGCGACGCAAAATACATAATAAGTAATAATACTGCGACTTTAGCAGATGTAGCAGCGTGACAGTCGCCGCGTCGCGGGTCGCGGAATGCTGCTCATGAATATAAGCCTCTAGCATGGCTTGAAACTAGTCGAGTTCTGAGTCAAACAATTACGTGAGTAAGCCGAAAACATTAATTAATTAAGTAACGAATACCAAAAAATCACGTTACATTCAAATCAACCAGAGCCTTTAAGTAAATAAAAGGCGTGATGTTATAGAGGTATTATGTCAAATATACACAATAGAGGTAATACACAACTTATCATCTACGATAAATTAACCTATTTATTTAAAATATGTTAATTCAAACAAATTAAACTGAACAGAATACAAACGCAACTTAGTAATGAATCCTCTAATTTTATTCAGACACAAAATAAATTAATTCCAAGGAAATCTTATTACTTTAACAGGAAGACATTTAAACTGTAAGGAACAAGGATTGCTGTCTATTTACCATGCTGAAGGGACAAAGGAAATGCGCGAAACAACGTAACCCCGCCCAGTTAACAAATATTCAAGCGAAATATATTTTATTTCAACTTCAACCTTTTTAATATCATAGTAATATTTATCAAGGAATTACTAAAAGTTACAATTTCGCCTATGAGGTTATGATTTATAAATCCATTCATATAATAGAGGGGAAACTATTTACGTACACATATAGGTAAGTACTTACTTACGGAGCACTAACTCAGACTCGAAAAGTCAAAACTTGAATTAATTTATATTTTACATAACCTAAGAACTCAACTGGAGATCCTAACTCTGCAGACGTTTTTGTTTAATCTTCTGAATATTTCGAAACTAAATACTTTCAATGAGGTGTTTAGTAAATGTCTTCAAATTATATCACACTTAATAAAACTTTAATGAAACCCAATTAAAAAGAAAGTTTACAAAACTAAAAAAGTTTTTATGATCGACATTATTAAAGAAAATGTGTGAGAACGAGAAAGTTTATACTTAACACGAAAATGTTCCGAATTTTAATTTCCATATTATAGTGAAACTTTATACAGCTAATATTATTATAAATACACATTTCTAGTCGACACTTGTAATAATACCTACCTTAATTAACATAATCTCACGCATTATTTTCCCGTAGGAGTAGTAGTAATATAGAAAGCATTTGTTGCTAACTTCCAATCCAGAATATCGAAGTATTGTCACTTAGCTTAACCTAATATACGAACTCAAACACCCTTTTACTTAACCCTTTAGAATAAGGAGAACAACGAAACAAATATAGAAAAATTCAAATAAGTAATATTGCTACCCCATATTTACTTTCCTACAAAACTAAAACATCTAATTAACTACCACCACAAACATAATTACCGCTTATAAAACTTAAACTATAATGAGCACTTTACCATATTCATTTTATCTAAAACAAGGCTAAAAAGTTCCCACTATGTAATCGTAAAACCCCATACCCACTTAACCGGCAGTTAAAGTTAATTAAGGTAGGTAGCGTTAAAAAAAAAAAATACATTGTTTGGTATCAGGCCATTGGCTACTGAACAACGGAACTACATTTTATTAATTGGATACTGTTTTTTAATTACCCAATGGCGTACCGATCTGATAAAAATGTGGAGTCAGTCAATTGAAAAGAAGTTTTACGGTACAGCACTTAGGAGCAATAAAGATCGCGTTTTTGAAGAGTGCTTATTGAATTAACAAGATCTTTTACAGCTTTCGTGTTTGATGGTAGAAAGTGCCCATTAAATATTATTTCTACCCAGTGTTTAATATTACGTCTACATTTTTTAAGTTACCAATTGTTGTCGAAACTTCGAGATCTTAATTATTGCACGAATAAAATATTAATATCAAACTACAAGACTGACTATATTTTGGCAAAAATACGCTCTTGGTTATAAGATCTTCATTACAGACTCATCTAAGACTTAAACCTTATTTAAAACTAGTTTTTAAACAATCTATTAACTAGTTCTAACGTAATATTTAAGTTTTGATTCTAGACGAATAAATACTATTTATTTAAAAACCAAACCGAATCTGTAAAATCACAGGAAATATACACTTATAGATCTATGATACCCTTAAACAAAGTTCAAGCTTAAACAAATAAAAAGTCCATATTTACCATTTGTTCCATTCAGTCCAATGAGAAGTAAATGCACAAATACGAGAAACACAAATTGGTTCCTTCCATTTATGGTGTTATTGCACTCATTAACACCAGCATCCACCATACTGCCACAAAATTATACTTAATTTTCACACCATCGATAATTTACATGTTTACAAATTCACTATTGAGAGTTCCACTATTTATTTTGTTCACTTGCATACTTTAATCTCCATACGTTTTAGATTCAAACGTTTAAAATGTCATTTTATTTGAATAAAAAGTTCGGTAAACAAAGTCGGCATCGCGTTCGGAGCTCGCTAGGACCGCTCCACACGACCATACGGCTTCGAGTCTTACGTCGTACTATCGCTACTCCCTCCCTCATCTCTGTTTACTCTGTCCCAAATGGGGGGATAGGCGAGTGCTCCAAACTTTATGTAACTCTATTATGGTGTAAAGAACCATTATCACTTGATTTGACTGTCACCGAAGTAAAAAGTATTTTAAATTTAGGAGCTTTGTAAGTTGCGTAAACATGTAAGCGAACAAACCTAATTTTGTTGCGTACCTACATAACACTGTAGAAACTTTTTTATGATCTGTTAAACAATCTTACCTAGTTGTTTTCCACAAACGGAGTTTTAAGACGTTTTATTTCTCATTTCTGTTACTGTGGAAGAATGTAACAGTTTGCATTTACGGTGATATTGTGTAATTAGTAGGTACTCAGTTTGTTTGAGTTCTTAGACTACAAACTTTTTTATAGTCTTTGATGAATAATATTTATTCATTCTTTTTATTTGGATGCTCTTAATACAAAGTTATGATGAATGAAATGTGTTTAAATCTATGTCGTAATCGTTTGAGTGTGTGGTTTTACAAAGATCGGTCATAAAATTCATAGACTCGGTTCTACAAAGGTTAAATCTTAGGGTGAAAATAATAATAATATTGCAGCAGCATGCGTTAAATTTAGGGTTGAGGTTAAAAAATCAAAGCGTTTCCAATCAATCACAAATCCTCCGATATTAAATTTCTGTACAGAACATCAACAAAAGCGAACCCATAATCTATACTAAGTTTTTGTCCAAACAAACCCCACGTTCGAAACTTTGAAGGCCCATTCAAAAAGGAAAGGGAATAAAATACGGCTTATTTCATTTGACGCATTTGTCGAGTTAGCGCATGCGCACCGGGCGGGCGCCGACAAAGCCAATGGGATCGTATAAAAAACGTTCTAATTTCAAACCGGTCGCCCCTCCGCCGCACGCGCTTGCGCATCCCTTCTTCCATTATTATGCTGAAGAGGTCATTCACAGTTCGCACAATGCGCCCCATACATGGGTGAGTTGCTAATAGGTGAGGCTGGTTGCTCTTGAATCCTTTTTCAACTTTTTAGTATTGAATTATGTTGTAAATGTACGCACGCCTTGTAATGAATGTTCCAAGGCGAAATAACTATGTAGGACGTATGAAATTGTGCCCACACACCCAGTATTTATGACGCCTTCGATTTTGTAATAAGTCGTAATTATGGGTAAAATTGGCGATGGCATAAACTACTTGATTACGAATCTGAACTTTAAGATTTAAGGCAAAAAAGTTGGATTCTTAATTACTATGTAGCAAAACTGGCTACAATTTTAATTATACATATTCGCTAAAAAATGAAATGGCCAAGTGGTTACCCTGTTTAGTTTAATATGTCAGTGTTCGTAATGAGACTACACTAGAATATTGTGTATTCGTTGTAAAAACATGGGTGATATAATGTTTTTAAACATAACAAAACATCGCCCTCGTTTGTCAATAAGGGGTAAGCATAGGTACACCTTTCATTTGTTGTTTTATGAGCCTCGAGCAATAGAGGGTATGCGCATTTAGGCAACTGCAGTGTCTGCTTAATAGTGGCAATGGAAACTACTAGAATAAATATATAATAATTCTAGTATTCTAAAGATTATTCTAAAGATTAATTATTCTGAATATTATTCTAAGAATAATTATATGATTATTCCCTATTAGTTCAAATTATATAATTTGATGGCAGATATTAGAAGACATAGCTACTAAAACTGTGGCTTACGTGAACTACAAGCTTACGAGTAGCCAGTTGACGGCGCAATTAAGAGTCCCAGTATGACTTGAAACACATAGAGCCTTTCTCGAATAGTTCACGTGAGTAAGAAGTAGTTTTTAGTTTATTAATTTAGTATGTCTCATGTTAGTTATTATACTAAACTAGACGTAGGGTTAACTATATAAGTTTTGAATCCGAACAAACGGATTAATAAAGTTATTGTAATAAAAATATAATAACGCAATTTTTTCAAGCAATCTGCTCCAGATTTTCAACGAAAAAAAGAAACATTGCTAAAATCATAACCCTTCCGTCGCCATATTCGGTCAAAATTAACCGATGATAATAATACGACGTGCAAGCAGACTTCGCAATCTCTTTAATTAAAGGGTGTCTGCTAATTGAACTGGTCTTGTTACTGAAAGATATTGACACCGCCATGTGGTTTAAACTTTTTAGTATTTTTACATCACATTGAAACTAATTGGACGTCTGAGCCAAGCAAATATTTAACGATCACCGATTAAATTTTTGATGGCTCTATTTTTGCATAAGTTGGGCAACGATTGCCAAAAATGAACAAAAAATTGACAGCGACTTGATGGGTGAATGTACCTACTACGTAACACGTACAATCAACGATAAAAGTTTTGAATATTGTAATGTTTGTGATTCGTGACTGACTAGTTGACACAGATTTACTTAATTAAAAAGACTTTGATACCTAATATTCTGCTAGAAGATGAAGTAAACAACCATAAGAATTAGGTTGTCACGTACAATTTCAACATAATTATGAGTTTATATTATTAAAAAAATAAAAACTAAATTCCGTCAGTTAGGCGTCAAAGAAGTCGTCCACATCTCCATCACTAGAGAACGACCCAGAAGACTGGTAGCTTATTTTCTGTCCGAAGAAATAGTCAGCCCACTGTTTTAGTCTTAGTTAATTTTAAGTTGTATAATTATATTTATTCATAATATTATAATATGATCAAAGATAGAATGAATAAAAATTCAATGTCGAATTGTTTCGTTACTCGTGATATGTCTATATAATCACATACAAAACAGAAGCTCTGACACCAAAAATAAAAGACAATAGCGGTACATACATTCTTTTTAAAATAATTCTTGACCATACAAATTCTTATTGCCATGTACAGCATAAAATAAACATTGATGTGACTGACTGTCAGTAATTACAATAGAACATCATGCTATGAATAACTATAAAACGCTTATCCATAAAAGAAAAAATATATATACAGTGGGCGTTGCAACGAAACGCGTTTTTTTTATATCAACTATGAAATAAGAAGCAAATTCAGTGCATTTGTAATCAGTGAAGAAACAGTAGCCATACGGATGTCGCCTACAGTCGTACGTGCGTGCACTCACAATGCGAGGAAATAGCCACGCAACATTGAACTCTGAAACTAGAAGAAAACTTCCCTTCTACATGTAAAAAATCATAGCAAAGAACGGTGTGAGAGCTCATGTTAATTTGGTTCACAATACTTTTATTGTCAGCCAGTTCAAATCCATAAAAATAAGCAACTTAGCATATTTAAGCAGTATCATAATAAAAAGAAGTTATTATTATTTATCTGACCTAATTCCAGTGTTGTTGGCGTATAAATTGCTTTTTTTATTTAGACGGACACCCAGTTCTGGTCAATAAATCATAATTCGCACGCACGCCCAATTAAGCGCTGTATAAAAGTGAATAAAAATACATATTCATTTCTGCCTAGATTGAAGAATATTGATATGACCTAAAAAGCTTGAGGTTACAGCTCGTTGTAATAACATTTGTGTTTCATTGAGAACAGTAGTAACATAACATAACATCACCTCTTTTATCCTCGAAGGGGTAGGCATCCTCGCGGAGAACCTAACGGATAACCGGGGCTCCGGCTCGACGTGCAGGAGAAGGAACGGGGTGGTTTTTAGTCAGTAAGAGTCTGACACTCCCTCCCGCCTCACCCAGGCGGGAGCAGTCATTCGATGATTTTCCCCCCTTAAAAGAAAAAAAAAGGGGGTAGGCAAAAGTGCACATTATGCCACTGTACAATGTAACTTCCACTTTTTACTATTTATGTTATGAGTCCCATGTAATAGGGGGTGAGCCTATTGCCATACCGCAAGGCCATCGCCGTGCTACTACTGATTTTTTTTTAAATCCCAGTAATACTCTGTCCGACCCGGGAATCGAACCCGAGACCCCTTGCCCGGCAGTCGCACTTGCGACCACTCGGCCAACGAGGCAGTCAGCAGTAGTCTTCCTAGCAATAAAAGTAATATTAAAAATATTGGTTCATCTGATACGATTGTTACTAATTGAGATATGAATATTTATTTCACATTTGAATTGTAAAACTAATTGTATTAAATCTGTGACATCAATTGATTCTTTTATTCATTGGCTTTTTGTAATATTCAATGTTTGTATTGTAACTTTCATGGGACATACTGAATAAATTATTATGTTTTCGGCTTACTCACGTAATAATTTGATACATACATCAGTAGCGGCGCGACAGTCCCCACGTCACGGGTCGCGAAATGCTGCTCATGAATATGAGCCTCTAGCATGACTTGAAACTAGTCGGGTTCCTCGTCAAATTATTACGTGAGTAAGCCGAAAACATAATAATTTAATATTCAATGTAAAATGTTTATAATTATAAAGCAGCTAGATTCAGTCTCACAAAACTTACAATATAAAAAATATTATGAGACACATTTCCAAGAACATTAATAGATAGACACTTCTTCATATTGTCTGAAGTGTTAACACTTTAAACAGTTCTCACACGATCGCTCATCACCTATCACTGGATAGGTGATACCAAGAAAAACAAATAAAACATTAGCAGAATAAAAAAAACTTTAGGCGAACTTACAAGAATTACACTAATAATGCTACCTTCTTAGTAAAACAACTTTAAAATACACTTTGAGGGACATAAATCGTCGATGTCAATAATAAATGGTTTATAGAATAAATAGCTACTTCTACTGGGAGCAAATAAGAC